TCTCGAGTATTGGAAATTTACTGTTTCCATTTCGTGACATATTTCTCTCGTGACCAGTCGAATAAGCGTTCATTTGTTGTGTTCACCGTTGACTGACTCGAAAACTTTAGAATAGAGAATTACATAAAAAATATACAAGTTAAAATTCAAATTATTCAAGATAAATTATTTGGGAAGAATCGGTTAGCTCGTTGTTCTTTCTTGAAGAATAAAGTTCACATAACGATAAGCAGTGATGGTAAATTTTGAGGTCATTTGCCTTTTTTTCAAATGACTTTGGTCATTTCCGACTAAAATTTATAATAAAATTGAGGTCATTTGAGGGTCATTTCAAGGTCATTTACCATCACTGCACATAAGTGGTTTTGTTTTTTGGAAAGAAAAGAAACTATCTCTATAGCCAAGATATTTCCTAAATTAGAAATTTCGGATGTTCTTGTGGCTTTGTCAATGAGTGGCTTTGTCAATGAGTATCGAAAAATTTATCAGCATTTTTACATTTTTAATTGTGGAGTTCAAGCTTCAAAAAAAGTTTACGAGAAATATCAAACAATTCTTGGAAAGTTAAATTTGCGCTCGCGATAAATCATATACAGAAATGAAGTAAGCAATTAGATGAGAAAAGAATGAGAAAGAATGGAGTTCTACCGAAAGTTTTGCATTAACTTCAAGTTTTATCTCCGCAATACTCACTCAATTTTGAAAACATACATACAGTGTCACTAAGGAAATTTTACGTATAAACGCCAGAGAAATCGATCGTAACATATCAACCTCAGGTTCTTGGCATGCACAGTATAAGGATTCGTCATTTATATTTATTGGAAATATTCCATTCGATTTAACCGAAGGCGATATAATATGTGTATTCTCGCAGTGGGTAGTTTTTCTTTTTTATTTGTGATTATCGAATTTTTTGAAATTGATTTTATTATGAAGCATTCAATTCAAATATATTAGTTGATGCTTAACTAGGTACGGGGAAGTGATTCATCTTGATCTTGTACGTGATAAAAATACGGGTGAATCTAAAGGTTTCGCATTTCTAAAGTATGAAGATCAACGGAGTACTATATTGGCTGTTGATAATTTGAACGGGATTCAGGCAAGCTTTGTTCTTAGTTAATATTTTCCCTCGAAAATTTTCGCTTTTTTGGAGCTATGCGTAAATTCATTATCGAATAATTGAATTAGTTACTTGGAAGAACCATTCGAGTTGATCATGCAAGTGCCGAAGATAAAGAAGGAAAAAAGAGAACTGGGATGAACGCCGCACCACAATTCCTAAAAGGTATAATAATCTGATTATATATTATTACACCTCAAACTAACACGATGACATCTAGAATCTGTCGAAGAGGATGACGTTTCTCCAAAAGATTCCGATGAAGATTCTGAAGATTATGCCGATATAGACCCAGATGATCCAATGCGAAACTACCTGATAAAAAAAATAAAAAA